ACAGTGCGCTCATATGCCTATTCTCCAAAAGATACAAAAGCATACTTGACAGTTCCTGCGGAGAAAGGACAGAATGTTAGCCTTGTGTGCTTAATTTCAAATTTAGGAGTTGACTGTTTCCAATACAAAAACGGTGCATACAATACACAATTATTTATTGATTTCATCAACAAGAAAATAGTACCAATTTTTGCAGTAAATCCAAATAAAATTCTTACAATAGGTAATGCAAAATTTCATAAAGCAGCTGCAGTACTTCAATTACTAAGAGAGAAAAGTATTACTCACAAGTTTCTAGTACCATACTCCCCTGAATTGAACCCGATTAAAGAGTTCTTTTCAATGTTAAAATCTAGTTGCAAATCCACAAGAAATGCTAATCCCGATATGGCTATAAAGAAACTCTAGAATATCACCTGATAATAATTATAGTCAACAGTGCAATGCTTTTTTATACAAATATGAAAAGATGGTTGGAAAAGGCAATAAGGAGAGAAGAGTATCTAATCAAAATTTTTGAAATGATTTTTTTTTTTTTAATAATCTATATTTTTGCATGCCTTTTTAAAAATTTATGATTAAATAATGTGTACTATTTTTTAAAACTTATGGAAAGTATCTAATCTAGAAAAGTTATTGGTATATAATAATATGCTAAATTAAGTATAAATGTAAAGAATTTTCACTAATTAATCATTTTTTTTTTTTTTTTTTTTTTTAAAAAAAAAAACATTTTGATTGCTATGATAATTTAATTTAATAATTAAAGTATACGTATCATATCAATTTATTTTAATATTTTACGCAATAATTTTTATTGTTTAAAACTAAAAAAAATAATTTCCAAAAAAATATATATGCACTTGTAACTTTGCAAGTGTGCACTTATAACTTTGCAAATGTGCACTTATTACTTTGCAAACATGCACTTATGACTATGTAAAACCCTGTATTACTTATTTCATCTTCTAAATACATTTATTTTACATGAAAAATTTTTAAATTTTAAACAGATGCAATTAATATAACTGTTTTTTAATATTATTCAGTGGGGTAGGAAAGTTAAAAAATTCGGGGGAGGAGAGCAGAGACAAAAATTAAAGTGGGCTAGGGCAGAAAAAATTAGAATTTAATAAAAAAAATAAAAGAATTTTTAAGAAATTTGGCGGGGGTAGGGGGGAGGGGGAAAGTAGCCCCCTCCAACCCTCTATCTATTTCTCTTCTCCTCCTCCTCCTGTTCTTACGCTAGTTACACTATATTTTAAAATTCTTAATAGTTATTGTTTTATAATAATTATAATTATTGTTATGATAATTATAGTTATTGTTATAATAATTATAATTATTGTTACAATATAATATAACAATAACTATAATTGTATAATAAAACTATAATTAACTATTAGGAATTTCAAAACATAGTGTAGTTGAATCAGTTTTCCCGAATCAATGTGTAAAAGGTGTTTTGAAAAAAACTTAAAAAATTAAAAGCAGATATTATTTTTAAGGCGTTTTTTGAAACTAGTAAACTTTATGAATTTCTTCATAATTTTTAAAAAATAATCATTCAATATTGTTTGTTATCATCTATATCAGCTTATTTCATAAAAAAGTCAATTTTAAATTTTATGATCTTAAGGCATTTTGAAAAACGACTGTAGAATACCTTTTAAAAAATTTTATTTGTCATAATCTAAAAAAAAAAGACTTTAATTTTGAATTTCTTAGTATTTAGTAGTATTTTATTAGTTATATATATTGACAATCAACTATATTCATATTTATATACTTTCATATGGTGAAAAAAAAAATTCACATCACATTTAGACCACTTTATCAGTCCACGCAGTGGGCCTAAAGTTCATTTTTAGGCCATTTTTGACTTTTTTTTTTTTTTAAAAATGCTTCCCTTTTCACGGATCAATTTTAAAAAATTGAATTTTTTTAGGCAATTTTATGCATAAAAATTAAATAAAAATCCAATGTTAAGCCTTATATCTTTTAATAATGCGCAATTAAATAGCTGCATTTTTCAAAAAAGTTGATTTTTTAGCATTTTTTTGCTCTTCGATAAGGTCTTTTTTAGCGCCTTTGGTGTTTAGAGTTGGAATGTAATGTTTAAAGCAGCTACAAAATTGTCTAAAAAAATGAGTTAGTTTTGTTCCTCTTTTATGCGACTATATTAGGTTGTCTCAATATATGACGTTTAGCAGCATTTGTTATCTTTTAATAATGCTAGAGCATAAAAAATAAAGTTTCAGCACAAATACTCAAAAAAAAACATTTTCAAAATCAGTTTTCTTCTTGCTTTTTCTTCCACTCTTGAACTCTTTAGCTACAAGGAAAGTGTCCTGTCTCTTCTTCTCCTTGTCGGATTTGTTGATCAGCTCCTAGTTAAAAATAAAATATGCTTGTTGAAATTACCTTTATAATTTCTACATTAGGTTTAAACTTAATAGTTTTTTAAAAATTGTACCTGAAGGAGTTTCACAGTTCTCTCACTCCAATCATTAACTACTTCCAGATTTTCAACAAATTGTTTAAACTTCAGATAATAGTCATTCAGGTTCCATGTCTCAACTGGGGTTTTTAACCACTGTAACTCTGCCTTCCCATGGTTCAAGAGATGAAATATGAACCAAATCTGTTCATTTATCAGTAAAACCAAGCTAGGAGGATTATCCTAACAAAAATCCATACTTTTGAACAATTCAAAATTCACTTACAACAATTCTCAGGCCTTGACATGGAATACAGCTTCTTGACAATCTTGTCACAGTTAGGGACCTCTTCATCAGCTAAACCATTACAACAGCAGTAGAATCAATGTACCTGGTGTTTTTCTTCAGTGAGTCAATAACATGTTTTGCCAGCTCAGGTTTGACATCAGAGTACCTTATTATCTGCCACAGTGCTTTCATACCCTAATAAATAATCTTTAGATAACAAAATACTAAAAAGAATAATTTTTATTTAAATTTTTTTTTACTACAATTTGAATATTAAGAAAATAATTAAAACAAAAAAAACCCTGAGAGAAAGCAATTGCTGGAATTTTCACTCTGAGAAACTATTCAGTGTAAAACACTGCAGTGAAGAAGGCCATATATTTGATTTCGTTCTACTTTTGAGTTCGGGAATGTTATTCATTAGAAGGAACAACCTCATAAAGTATATTTCTTATTTTTATAATAAGCAATTAATCAAAATTGAATGTTTACATTGCGTTTTCACTTTTTGCAACATTTAAAAAACCCATAGAATATTAAGATTCATTCTTTACATTTTCAGTTTGATATCTGATATTAATCATTTGTTTATTGTGTAAAGCGCCAGGAGCTATGCACATTAAACAAGTTAATATTATGCTAAACTGTGATTTACCGGATAATGGACTTTTATTTATTTGATAGCTGTTTAAACTACTTTAAACAACATTAAAATTAATTTCATAATTTAAAGTATTGATCTTTTTAAAAGTATTCATCTTTTCCATCTTTATAACGTTTTTGGAGAACTTTTTCTGCTCCTTTCCTTGAGGTTAGAGGTGGAATATCAAGTAGCTCTGTCTGTCCATTTATCGTAATCAATACAGCAAGTCTGTGACATTGTAATTCTTACCCAACTGTGAATTCTTTAACAATCTTACTATCAAAGTGCAGAATTATAGGGGATACTGATGACTGCGTGAGAGTAGAAATTTGTTTTCTAATCTTCTCTCATTCTTTGGTTAAAACCTCTTCTACAGCTCTAAATGGTGTTGCGCTTGACACAACAAAATTTGACACAGAACCTCCAGAGTTTGTAATGATAATGGACACAATTGCAGTATGCTGTCTAGCAGGCAGTCCCTCTCCTATAGCAGTAAGTGTTTTTTTATGTAGAATATCTTTTAGAAAGAGAATTGATTAGCCAGATTCTTCTTTGTTGATATCTGCTTCGAAGTCTGAATCAGAATTACTATCATGACTATTTGCAGAGCTGTGTAAAAATTCGACTAAATATTTGATGGACCATTCCTGTAACGACTCTTCTTTAACATGCTGTAATAATTTACTGTGCTCTGAATCTTCACCTTATACATGGCAAATATAAAATTTAAGTGAATTCCCATTTTAATAAAATATGTACCTTAAACATATAATTTTAAATTAATACTTTATACACAATGTAAAGAACATAATAAAATGACATAAATGTTTCTACTGTGTAAATATAAATAGTAAATTGAATTAAAAGTTTAAAAGGCAGTACTTTTTTTTAAACACAAAAAAAAAGAATTTGAAAGGTTTGCCTTTAAACTGTCCATTGTAGTTAGAGGGAAACCAGCTAAATTTCATGGTCCAACCAATTTAGTCATTACACAGCAGTGGGTGTTCTCTGCATGGCATAAAAGCTCAAAAGAATTCATCTTGAATTTGCACCTGATTAAATCTATTTGCTTGGCGTTTGGATTTAGCTTTCTAAGATGTAGGTAGTACTGCAGAACATTTTTGCCATTTGGAAGCACTGATAGGGGGGTCCAAATGTAATGAAATTTTTATTTTTTCGTAATATCCATGGTGGGGCACCATAAGTAATGTTAGTTGAAATTGTAAAAAGTCATTTTTTGGAAACACTCAATTATATATATATATATATATATATATATATATATATATATATATATATATATATATATATATATATATATATATATATATATATATATATATATATATATATATATATATATATATATATATATATATAATTGAGTGTTTCCAAAAAATGACTTTTTACAATTTCAATTATATATATATATATATATATATATATATATATATATATATATATATATATATATATATATATATATATATATATATATATATATATATAAACAATTTTCAAAGGATCTTAGAATTCTCAAATTTTCTTTTTTTTTATAGTCTTAAGTGTTGTTACGGTTGAAATTTAGTCAATTTTACACAATAAGTTATTTTTTTAATTTTGTTTAGCAATGCTTGGTCCTTTTTCAAGCTACATCCCTAACAGCTTGATTGTCTAGTTGGCTTCGACAGTCGAGTGTACGTCGGATTTTTTTATAACATTTGCTTAATTTTGTACTTTTCACATTTCAACTTTATTTGTTAGAATTATATTTTCACAATTTTTTACATTCAATTTTTAAAAAAGTTTTGTTTAAATAACTTTTTTTAATAAATTTAATGATATATTAGTAAGTTTGTAGTTTTTTTTAATAAATTTGATGTTGTTACTTTAAATTGGTTTACCACGCTGTGCTTGTCTACAAATGTGATAAATTTCTTTAAGAGAAGTTCTTAAACGGGGTTTAAAAAAAAAAAAAGAGTTTTAATGAAACTGGATTTCAATTTTATTTCGCCTAATGCGTTGTAAGGCTAAAACTATTTCTATCCTTGATTTTTGCCTTTTTCTTAAGCTAATTTTAGTTTTTTGTTTATTAAACGAAAATAGAACGAAACGAAAAAGTATCATTTATGTTTTCAAAATAACAATTTTTAGATTTTACATGCGCTTCTAATTTTTTTTTTTAGATTATGCATAGTCTCTTGAATCTAAAAGTGTTCTTGTAGCGTTTTAAACCAAGTTTCCATTGCATTGTGGTAATTGTAGTTATCAATATATTTTTTCCGCTCCTGCCTGTTTTTATAAACCCATTTTTTTTTTTTTTTTTTTTTTTCTCAATGTCTTTTTTGTAATTTTATTTCTTTTTTCTTAAAAGAATGACAAATATTATTAAAAAAAAAGCCAAATTTAACTTGTAGAGTTTTCTGGTATTAAGGTGATTTCTGCAAGAAACTGATTTTTAAATAGTTTTGATGAATTTTTGTTAGAGTTATTAAAATAAATTTTTATTTTATCAAAAACAAAAATTACTACTGATGCGTACAAAAAACAGAGGCAATTAAATTGTTTTATACAAACTAGATAAACAAAATTAGCTTAAGAAATTAACCAACTGATGATGTTTTAACAACAAAAAAACTCTCATTGGTTGTTATTGGTAACAACTTGAGATGCTACTAATGACATTCCAGAGTAATGAGTCATAAAAAAGAGTATAGTTACAAATTTACTTTGCATGTAAAATTTTAGAAAACATAATCATTTTGTTGCTGCGATGGATTTACTTTAGAAGTCAAAATTTTTATTTAAAAGAGAAACAAATTGTTTCGACTAGGGTTGTTCGCCGAAAAACAAAACTAGCGAAATTTTCGCATCTTTATCTACCGTAATAGAATTGTTATTGCTGAAGTTGCACATGCAAAAATGCACATTCCGTAACGCACAATACAAAAATATAAATAAATAAAATTCCGTAATAAAGCATTGCGAAAGAAAACTTGCAAAACAAATCATTTCGTAAGAATACTTACGAAATAGTTCCTTACGGAAAGAGCATTCCGGAATGTGCAGTTACAAAAAAGACGCAAAAGATTTTATGTTAAGATATATTTAAGGGGTAGGTACAATCGGCAGAGCAGAGCAGATTATTGAAATGTTAATAACGACAGAGCAGACTATTCAATCAGCAGTTTCCTAAAACGTGATCTGCCAAATAGTTCGGCAGATCATTTAATAGGATTTTTATGTGATTGCTAAATATTTTTGTGAAAAACGATGCACTTCGAATAGAAAGAATTATGAGTTGACTTTTTAAACATAAACGTTTTTTATTGTCGCAATATTTTCCAAAAAAAAAAGTGATCTGACGTATTCTAATGCGTGATCTGCCAAATATTTCGGCAGATCTTAATGCAACCGGCAGTAAAGATTGGCAGAGCAGATCATTGTAATAATAATAACGGCAGAGCAGATTATCACAGACAGACAATCAGCCGTTTTCTATTATGTGATCTGCAAAATTATATTTTGATAATGCGTGATCTACCAAATAATATTTGAATAATGTGTGATCTGCCAAATAATATTTGGCAGATTAGAAAATTAGAAACACATTAGAAAACGGCTTATTGGATAATCTGCTCTGCCGCTATCAACATTACAATGATCTGCTCTGCCGATTGTACTTACCCATACTTAAGATATTAACTGTTAACAGCTTAAATAATAAAATTGTAGTTTTTGATTTGTATAACATGTTATACAAATCAAAAAATATAATTTTATTATTTAATTATAAAAAAATGTTGTTAAATGATTCTTTAAGTATTTATACAAATATATCTAATATATATATATATATATATATATATATATATATATATATATATATATATATATATATATATATATATATATATATATATATATATATATATATATATATACACACAGTAAAACCCTGTTAAGTTGGACTCTTAATAGGAATAGATAAATAGTACGACTTAGGAAATGTCCGAGTTAAGTGAAGCTCTTGGTATTTATAGAACGTTCAAGAGAAATTGAAAAACAATCCGACTTATCCAGGGAACGAGATAACGGAATTCTACTGTAAATATATTCCTCCCTATCATTCTTATTTTTACTATACGTATTGAGTTCATAAAACATTATTAAATATATTTATTATGGCACGTTTCGTAAGTTTGTTTCCGTTAAGAACTTTTTCGTATGTTGTAATGCAAAATACCTTTCTTTTGAGAGAAATTTTGTTTTTTATCGTTATTTCTAAAAACAAAACCATAAAAATTTAAAATGTTCTTATGCTGAAAATAAAAATTCATTATAAACATTTTGGGATTTAAAGATATTAATTTTTACAATTAAAATCAGTCTGGCAAACAAACTTTCATTATAGACTTCAAAATGTCGTTTGGCGAAAGTGCCTGTTTTGCAAGTGTGACTTCCGAAATTGCTACTTTCCTATGTTGCAAAATAGTTTTATTTCGTTTGTCAACTTGCGAAAGACTAAATTTCGGAAGTAGCATTTGCAAAATGAACATCGACGAATTTAAATGTTTTGTAATATTCGGTACGAAAAAAATGAATTCCTCGTTCTCAATCTCCTTACGAAAGAATGTTGTTTTTCCGGAATTGTACGAAATCCTCCGAACAACAACCCTAGTTTGGATATGATTTGAAAAAACTACGTTAAAATTGTGATATCTTTTTTCGTTTTTGATTTTTTAGCCTGCAATATTTTTTGTATCCACCTAAACCGAAGCTAGTTTTTTAATGGCGTTTAGCCAAAATCAATGATGTATAATTTATCATCACATCAATCCACAATTTTTTGTAATTTTTAAGAATGGAAGAATCAAACTTTTTATACTGGCATAATACTTTTAATATTATGTCAGTATATATTATGCAAGTTAAAATTTAGGATATAATTTTTGATGACTCAAATACTTAAACTTGCTATGTAACTGAGATTTAAGATAAATACTGTGTTATTTATGACATTTTAAATTTATGTCTGGTATTTGTATTTAATAAACAGTCAATAGCAATTGTTTCTAAGAATCAGACAATTTTGAAAAAAAATAAATACTGAATGTCACCAATTCCACTCTTTTTTACATATTTGCTTTATATAATAGATGCAATATTATTGCAAATATTATTGCACAATATTGTTGCACCAAAGTATTTTGTATTTATCAAATAAATACAAAATATTTTGGTCTAAATATTTATCGTTCAGCCATAGTGGTACATTGAAAATTGGACGAACTTTAGTCAATAGCTTATTTTGCATTATGTCATATTTTAAGAAAATTTAACTAGAAAATTATTTATTTCAAAATGTTTTGTCAACTTATTTATAACAGCCAGCTACTATTTTTACAGAAAAATAAAAACTTGTTCACTTTCTAGAAATCATAGTCTAAAAGTACAATAATTGTAAAAAAGTACAAACTTTAAGAAGCCGTAATTATTGAATTATTGAATTTAGCAGCCGTGGCGCAGTAATTAGAGCAGCCGTGGCGCAGTGGTTAGAGTTCTGGCTCAGAACTCAGAGGTCCGAAGTTCGATGCCAGCTCTAGCCCAACAAGCGACATTGGTACGGAAGGAGGCGTGAACTTCGTGTTAAATGCTCATCCGCGGTGCTCTATGATAAGACCGTAAAGACTTCTGGGAGCACCTAAATACATACAAAAAAAAAAAAAAGCCAGTATAGCCACGCGGACTTTTTTACACCATGCGGTTGCTGTGGGTCTATTCTTCCATTAAAAAAATAAAAATGTGCGTGGTTGCATTCGCATCTCTAAAAATCAGCCGTGAAAAACATGTTGTAGAAAAAAAATGTTCCAAATGCTTTAAAAACTGAAAAATATAAATCTTTTATAAATAAAGCAAATTAGTGTTAGTTCAAAAAAAATTTTGTGTCGTTGTATCGCTTAAAAAGTACACAAACTTTGTTTTTCCCAAACTTACTGATGCATTTTGGTATTTCTAAAATTAATTTTTTTTTTACAATAATGAAGCACAATAATTTAAAATGTTTTATCAAAAATATTTTGGAAAAATTTTTTTTTTAGGTGAGATATAAGGCTTCAGGTGAGATATAAAGCTTCAGGCTTAACTGTCCCAATGCCCCACTGTCCCGATATTCCCCCTGCTCTAACCTATTTTATTGGTAAAATAAATTGAATCAAAAATTAGCGACAGAGAGTATGGGTTTTCCCCTCAAAAAATACTCTGTCGCTATTGGTTACAAGGTAAAGTTCAAGTCGAGCTTGACTCAAGTTTGCTCCATGCATTCCACCCTATATGCAACTTAAATTGTTGTAAACAAGTTCTCGTAAAAAAAGTTACTTTTTTAAAAAAGTAATTCTTATTATTTATTATGCACGGCTAGCACGGATCCTTATAATGCCTACCTAGCTGTCCTAAGAACGCCACTTAAACGGAAAGTTAGCGTACACATCAAGGTATCCTGTGATGCAAATTTTGAAATCATTTGATTTTGTCCGCGGAACATAACCTAATTTGAATGCTCAAATTAAGTCAAACTTTGACTTCATAGTGCGCCAATAAAAACACTTGTAGAATTTGAACTACTCAATATAATTTGATAAAAATTGGTGCAAATGTAGTAATTGGATTATTTGGACAAAATTTCAGCCTGATTGGATGACTGGTGTATGATTTATTGCAGTTTTAGTTGAGGTTTTTTCAGTTTTTTGCTACTTATACCTCAAGGCGTTAAGGCGAAACTACTGCCAGAATGCAAAAAAATTAAATCAAGTAAATATTTCTTTTTTTTTTAGTTAATAATATGTATTACTATGTTAAGTGGATTGTTA